GGGTAACACAGAGTGGTGGGTACAGGTGGTTGAGGGAGGACTAGATGGCCCACAGAGGCAGAACAGTCTTTCCATGACAGCAGAGGGACATCAAATGCTCCCATAGATCTTTTGGGAATCCCAAGGGAGGGCGTTCCCAAAGCGGAAAAAAGCCATCAACTTCTTCCTCTGGGTGGTAGGACTCTGCAGGCCCACCAAACCACGTCTGTGCTTTTCCAGGTCCAGGTGGCTCCCCTAACACAGGAACACTTCCTGTCTTCATAGCCATCTTCTCTCCTGTTCATCTAAGCCTCAGGCCAAATGCCCCTGCCCAGGCCAGTAGGACTTGGGACCAGGCAGTTAATCCCTTCAGCTGGTTCTCCTTGCTGTGCCCAATCCATGTGGGTCTACTGAGAGGACAAGATCCATCCTTTCCAGGAAAGCAGCAAGGCAGGGAACCCTATCTCCTCCCACTGCAGTACCTACCAGATTAAGGTCTAGAGCAGATTGGCCCCTCTAGTGTATCCCCAGTAATCACGTGCCTGTGATCGTGTATACCTCACAGCTCATGCAGGAGCATCAGGACCATTCATTCCCCACTATTGGTGGAGGAGAGGCTAATGCATCCTGCCCCACACTCAGGGAGCACATTGACATGTTCATTAATGTGCCATAGTTATAGCACATTTAGTTTAGTACCTGTCGTTTCATCTACACACAGCCCTAGGTACTAACTCAATGCGCAGTAACCAGCGCTAATACACAGTAGTGCTGGCGCATGGCTTTTTAGAGACATTAATGCACAGTAGACTAGTTCAACTGTGCATTAGTGCAATAGCATGGCTTTTGCCCTGACACACTAATGCACGGTAGAATTAGTCTTAGCGTCTTGTATAAATGCATCCAGGTTGCTGCTTATGGCTTGCAAGGCAGTCGCCAGTACCGGACAGCCCCCAGGATCCTACTGGGAGAAAGCATTTTTGCCCTGACACACTAATGCACAGTAGAATTAGTCTTAGCGTCATGTATAAATGCATCCAGGATGCTGCTTATGGATTGCAAGGCAGTCGCCAGTACCAGACAGCCCCCAGGATCCTACTGGGAGAAAGCAGGCATCTTGTCTGCTCCCTTGAAAATCAGGGGAACCACCTCCTCCCTATTGGGCAGGAGGAAGGGCAAGGATGAGGTCCACTCATTAATGAGTGGGAGAACATGAGGGGTTACATGGGAAGCTCATGGCAGGTAGGGAGGAGGAAATGGGATTTGGATTTTGCCTGGCCAAAGAATCACTCATGTTGGGGCAAAAGGCAGGGCAGGGTGGCACTTTAGAGACAAACTTGTTCAGAGAGGCATAAGCTTTCATAGGCAACTACCTACTTTGTCAGATGCTGTGATATTGGAGCAGAAGGACCTTCTTGTCTATATAGAAGCCAAACCTGCCATCAGGAAGTGTTTATGTGTCCCAAATCGCTTCCCAGCTAAGTGCAATTGCATCTGGATTTTTAATTTTAACCATTCTCTTTTCACCGCTGGTGGGGGTGGGCATTGTTACTAGGACTCTGGCTGTGCCTACGTAGCAGGAACATGATCTGAAAAAGGCAGCATCTTGCCTTTTGGTTCTGGATTCGATGCTTTACAGTATTACCTTTGTGTATTTCCCTGTGTTTTAGGGTTCTTAAATGAGACTAATGCCTGGAGAACACTTCTGTGTTGCACGTCGGATGGTGAGCACCGCTGGGAACACACCAACCAGAAGGAATGTTGCCATGACAATAATCATAGACTTAAAATGCACAACAGTCAGATACCTGTTTGCTAGGGCTTTCCTGCCATGTATGCCAGCTCTATTTAATACCCTCTTCTATGCCCCAGCTAACAGATCAGAGGGGCAGATCCCACAAAGTGCAGAGAGTGTTGCCTGGGAGGGGCTGAGTGCCTTCACTTCCCTCTGAAGTCAATGGGACTTGAGGCTGGCCTGCACTTCGCTGGATTGGACTCCTGGTTCGTGTTGCTGATTGACATGTAAATAGTGTTTTGTTTACACTGCACTGAAAAAGCCTCCTCTCCATTCAGTCTCACTTAATAAAATAGCATTTAAAGGATTTTAGATTCATTTTTCTTCCTCTTGAAGCTGTTTTATTAGAAATTGTTGTTGAACATGCTGGTTGTTATCATAGCTCTGGTAAGTAATTTATCCAGCAGCTTGAGCAGTTGTCAATCCAGAGTGCTGTTCTATAAGCTGCGGGCTATATTTCTCTCTATGGTTTTCTGCAGTAAATGCCATTGATACTACAGTAGCTTCTAGAGTCCCCAGCTGAGATGAGGTCTCATGTGGCTAGACGCTGTATTATACAGAGTCAGAACACATTTACACACACCGTTTCTGTATCACTTTAACTGGGTCAGGTTGAATCTGGGATGGTGGACATGGCACAAGCCATGGACACACTTACAGTGGTAGTAAGGTACCAGAAGAGAGTATCCCTGTAAAACTCAGGGATTAATTCAGTGAAGGTCACCTCCCTAACCAGAGTATGTATTACATACTCACATAAAAAGGCAATTTTTAGGCTTGCAAACACTGTGTGCAAGCCAGACCAAAGAGACAGTCCTGCCCCACCAAGTTTATGGGTCTAAATCAGAGGTGGCCACCCTTTGACATGCATGTCACAAATGGCACAGGCAGCCTCCATGTGTGGCAGGAAGCAGATCAGGGAGGGAACATAGCAGCAAATAGGGCAGGGGGTAGAAAGAGCAGCAGATCAGACAGCTCTGATCTGGAGTGGCACTCAGGGAGGGTGTCGGGTTTACCTACCTGCCAAAATGGTTGGTCTGTCTGGCCTAAATACAACAGACAAAGTGTGCGAGAGGGAAACACAAAAGAAGTGTTTTGCCCAAGGCCATGGTGCAGGGTGGTGGCAGAGCCCTATGTAGAACCCAGGTCTCTCCATTCCCAATTTGAGCTCTTGTCTCTGAGCCCTGATGCCTTCTTTCCATAATGCTCTGTTTTATATGGGCTGGTGAATTCCACTTCCCAATGCTGTTAACAAGGCTTGCCTCTTGCCCTGATCTGTTAAAAGAAACCCTGCCCTCACCTCATCCTTTCTGAAATGATGACAACAGCCTGCATGCTCAGTAGCTACTGATGGTGGGTGGTTGTTTTTCAGGAAGTAATCCCCAGAACTTCACCGAGGGCGATTCTTCTCCATTGCTGGCAATATCATCATTTACATTTAGTCAAACAGAAAAGTTGTCAGTAAACCTCATTTCCACATTGTGGGTGGAACAGCTAGAATCACACTTTTACTGGTGAGGAGGGAAAAAAATCTACATAAGATACCTCAGTACCATTTTTTATGAGTTTATTGGATCACTGTAACTCTCACGGGGCATGTCTACACGTGCATTAATGTGCCTTCTTTAATGCGCATTAAATTTAGTACTTCCAAGGTACTAAATTAATGTGCATTAGGCTGCACTAATGTGCAGTAGTGCATTTGCATGCTTTTTCAGGGATGCTTAACATGCAGTAGACTATTTTACTGTGTATTTGTGTAATATTGCCTTTTTATGTGATGTTTTAATATGCAATAATATAGTCTACTGCTCATTAAAGTGCACGTTTAGACATGCCCATGGTTTCCCAAAATGCCTGCTATGCCTAGACACCAGTTTGATGTTAAAGAAATGCCAATTTGACCAACAGCTTATTGACTGAGGCTGAATATCACACTATCAATAAAGCTCAATAAAAGTTTGGAAATAACCAACCGGTACTGTATTTATTATTTTTTGTATAGCACCATATGGGGAAGTGTTGCTTCACAGTAACGATTTAGAAAGCTCTGTAGAACCTTGTAATCTAGTGGCTTGATCTTGCAAACAGTACTGCCAAAACAGAGAAACCAAAGCATACTAGGAGTATAGCAAATGGAGCCGGTTCAGCTCTGCACACTCTGCTCCTAGAAAATGTTCATCCCTAGATTGTAAAATCCACTTTTTTTTGTTTAAAAAAAAAAATAAAAACCTACAAGAAAACAGTAGCTATCTTTCATGCTTCTCTGTTAGTCCCATTCTTCAAGTGCACTATGCTTTTAGATAGTGGGTGCATCTACACATGCACTTTAATGCCTATTCTACTGTGCATTAAAGTGGCGCGTAAAAAAATACTAATATGCTAATGTGCAGTAGAATAAGCTACTGTGCATTAAGTGCCACCAAAAAAGTGTGCGCTTGCACCACTGCACATTAGTACAGCCTAAGCACATTTATTTACTACCTCGTATTGGAGGTACTAAATTTAATGCATGTTAGGAAAAGCACATTAATGCACATGTAGATGCACCCAGTGAGAATCATGAGGAGATGTGCAGGTCCTAACAGGACCAGGTGTCCAGTGTTTGATTTCTAAGTTATACTTTCAAATTGTCACTACATTTCCATCAAGGTCAGTAACAAAACTCATCAGGTGGCACAACCACCTCAAACAAGTTTCAGTAAAACTGGCCAGATCCCAGAAAATGCTGAGCCCTGGCCCCACGCATGGGAGTCACTGGGAATGCAGGTTTCCACCACTTTCTTGATGTGGCCATATGTTTACTATGTATAAAAAGAAATTCCCAAAGAAAGCCCCTGGGTGTGTGGCTGGCTGTGACCAGGGACTTTCAGCAACATTAGTGGGAACTGCTCATGTGCAGCATCTGCATCTTCATGCCATTAAAAAGGAGCTGATAACCTGGAGATTGTGACGTCGCCTTGAAACTACCAGCTGTGCTTAAAGGGCAGAGGCTGCCTAGGCAGAGATGCTGGGAAAATACCCTCTGTGGTGAGCAGTGATTCATCTGAATAGTTAGTGAGTCTTCTCTGGGGAGCTTCTGAGAAATTGTGTAGGACCCCAAAGCCCACCAGGAGATTTCTGGTTTGACTAAGTGATGGGTCTTCTTCTCAAACCTGCTGTAATGATGGATCAGGATTGCTCTGTAGTTTAATTATGCACTTCCAGTGTTAGATTCTGTGAAATACTTGGTCCAAATGCATTGCTATCTTATTTCTCCAACTCCCAGGGGTTCATCATCTGGCAGAGTCAGACAGACTCATATATTAATGGAGACCCAGATCTTATTCTGCCTCTTTGTTACTTAAATGGTACTTTCATGGCTTTTAGGCATCCAAGTTACTAAACACAGCCCTATTCCCCATCTAAGCAACTGTCACAACAGTGCTAAACTGTCTAGTTTTCTGCTGCTCCTCCTCTTTGGCTGGTAAGATCCACAGAAGCTTTGGGGGAGTGCACATGGTCAGAAGTGAGCCAGAATGACCACCTGGTTATTTAACACCACCAAGTGTCTGTTGCAGTCCAATTGTATCTGATTAAATCTCCTGATTCCAAAGCCACACGCAGCAATCATCTAACACACAAATTACAAGTTATTCTGGTGGTGGTGCTCCCATCAGATGCAGTAGCTTAGGGTTAGGACATCCATGTTTCACTGCATTACACACTTCACCATCCACATGTGAATCTACCACCACAAAGCACAGGTTCATAGCAGGTGTTGAAGTGAAGTCTTACACTACTAAAATGTCATTATATTTACACTGCACTGCAGTTAACTAGATATAACTCAGGTGCTATGGAGAGCTGTTGTGCGGTCGCTGGGCCTGAAATCAATAGAATGCCATAGACTTTGCATGAGTCCTGAAAAGAAGGAAGCATTTTCAGCTACATCAGCTTTCTTTTCTTACCACATGTGCATTCACTTCCCAACTGGCCTGTAGCCGTCAGCCATTCATGATTGGCACTGTGATTTAATGAGGTTATCAGACAAGATCTCAGTCTTTGTCACCCTTCCTCTTTTTCTCTTGCTTTTAAAAATTGCAGGGAAGAAAAATGACCCAGCTAAAGAACTGATGTAAGAAGAAACCATTTTACACAAGGAGCTCCTCTGACACACACTCCTTGAGCCAGAGACATGGCAATAAAGTGTGGAGGAACAAAGATCTTGGTTGCAGCAATCATTTGGGTCCTTGAAAAGGCCTATTTATTGCTTCATTCAAAAAATGCCCTTTTATTTCTCCATCACTCGCACCTGGTTATGTAGGGGTCCTGCTGCTTAGGCAGACAGGTGTTCACAGGAATATAAAATATACAACCCTGTCCTGCCTTAAGGAAAACTTGCATCTATTTATACTGTGTCATATATTCATTTATCTTATCTTCCTGTTTATGGGTATTTTGCCTAAGTAAAAATGCAGGAGACCAATACGCTCTATGCTGAACTTCACTGAGACCAATACACTCTATAGTGAACTTACAGAGTAGCTATATTCATTGAATCAGAGGATCATAGACAATTAGGTTGGAAGGGACCTCAGGAGGTCACATCTAGTCCAACCCCCTGCTCAAAGCAGGACCAGCCCCAGCTAGATCATCCCAGCCAAGGCTTTGTCTAGCTGGGTCTTAAAAACCTCCAAGGA